CTTGCTTTGGATTCTGTGTCTCCCTCTCTCTCTGCCCCTTCTCCCACTTGTGCTCTGTCTCTCTCTCTCTCTCTCTCTCTGAAAAATAATGTAAAATAATAATAATAATAATAATAATAATAATAATGCTGGAGAGATTTATCTTCGTAGAAAAATGGTTTGTTTTTTATGTGTAATGTTAATTTTTGTAAAAAAAAGAAAGTATAGAAATATAAACATATAAGTGTGTTTAGAAAAGGACCCATTTTGGGGATATGGGTGTTTACAGGTGATTTTTTTTTCCAGTTTATCTATCTTCTGATTGTTCTGTATTCAACATATGTCGTGCATGTGATTAAAAGAAAATAATTAAATGACATCACTCTAAGAAGAAAAAACAGAAAACATCATTATCACCAGATCCCCAAAGTCTACTCCATTTTCCATTTTTCCCACAAGGAGTCTTTCAACTGGAGGCGGCGACTCTAAAAATCTGTTACCCTGTAAGGATGGGAGCCTGGTTGGGGGAATAAACCTCCAAAAAGCGACAGTGACAAAGTATCTGAGCAAGATCTTCCCACGCGGACCTCAGGGACCCGCTTCTCCTGAATTACTGTAATGCCCAGCTGAGAAAGCCAGAAATAAGAGGGTGAGTTTTCCGTGAAAAGCCATGTTGTGACAAAAAAAAAAAAAATTACTTTTGCACGTTTCTTCTGAAGTTAAAAGCAGAGGGGGTGAGAAAACATCAAAGAAACCCAAATTGAGGGACCCTCTACAAAATTCCTAAGCAGTACTCTTCAAAAGTATCAAGATAGCAAGGACAAGAGAAGACTGAGAAACTGTCAGAATAGAGGAGACAAGGAGTCCTGGTGGATAAATGGAATTAGAATTAACCCATACATCCTCGGGCAATTGATTTTTGATGAGGGTGCCAAGACCATGCAATCCCCACTGAAAATCTTGTCTCTTCGGCCAACAGTGAAGATAACACAACAGATAGCTGGGAGAGTGGTCTCCTCAACCAAGGGTGCTGGGACGACTGTGTCTCCACATGCAAAAGAATGAAGGTGAACGCTCACCTCACATCATATATAAACAGTAACTCAAAATGGATGAAAGACCTATATGTAAGAGGTCTACAAGTATAAAACTCCTAGCAGAAAATAGAGGAAGAAATCTACGTGAGCTTGGATTTGGCAATGGATTTTTAGATATGACACCAAAAGTATAAGGAACAAAGGAAAAACAGGAAAACTGAACTTTCACAAAATGAAAACTTCTGCACATCAACAGACTTTATCAAGAAAGGGAAAAGACAACCTACAGAATAGGAGAGAATATCTGCATGTGTGACAGGTGCCTAGTGTCTAGAGTACATACAGAACTCTCACGATTGAACAAAAAAAAGACAGAGAACCCAACTAAAAAACAGGCATTGGATTTACTTGGGTATTTCTCTGAAGGAGGTATACAAATGGCCAATAACCACATGGAGACGCTAACCATCATGAGTCACCAGGGAAACGTAAGTCAAAACCACAAAGAGATACCACTTCACACCCCTTCGGATGACTACAATAAAAAAAAAATTTTTTTAAAGGAAAACAACAAGCGTTGGCGAAGATGTGGAGAAAGTGGAGTCCTTGCACCCTGCTGGTGGGAATGTGCAACGGTGCAGCCGCTGTGGAAAAGTCTAACGATTCCTCAAAAAGTTAAACGCGGAATGACCCAGCAACTCCACTCCTCAGAAGAAGTGAAAACAAGAGCTCGAGTAAGTACACATACGCACACGTTTACGGCAGTGCTCCTTACAACAGCCAAGAGATGGAAACAACCGAAATGCCCACCAACTGATGAATAAACAACATGTGGTCTATCCAGTCACAGAAGGTCACAGGTTGTATTGCTTCCACATGAAACATCCAGAACACGTAAATCCATGGAGACGGAAGGCAGACTGGTGGCTGCCAGGTGCTTGAGGGAGAGGGAGGAGGAAGCAGAATGCCGGGTAACTATTTAATGGGCACACGGTATCATTTTGGGGTGGGAAAATACTTTGCAAATATACACAGGAACAAAGACAGGGAGGAGAGAACTCAAATATTAATGCTTGTCCCTGGGAGGTGGCATTTTGGCATGATTCCTGGCCGTGTCAGATATCTGAGACTTTTTCAAGCCAGATCAGAAGACGGGTAAAGATGCCTGTCATTTGGGCTCTTAAGATCCAAGAAGTCTGGTCTCTTGCCCTGAACAAAGAGAAAAGCTGGAGCTCAGATACAAGCATACGTGATTAACAGGAATCTTTCAGGGGTAAAACTGCATTTCTACCTCTGTTTTTCAGACACAACAACATCTTGGTGGACAGAACTCTCCTCGCCGCACAGCAGCCGGCCAGCGTCGCTGCTCAAACTGGAAGGGAGGAAAACAGTTCCTGAAGGATTTCAGCAGCCAATGTTTGAAAAACCATTTCCCTGGGATGTCTGGACGTAATTTCTGGATATTTAATGGAAACAAGTCGAGGGCGCCTGACCAAAACTGAAGTGCTCTGTACTCCAGGACGGCAAGCAATAGTCACTGGTCTCGATCTGGACTCCAGGGCTTCCCAACGGAATGACCCTGAGAAAGTTTTTTGGCCTCTCTGAGCTTCAGAACCTATTTTTTTTTATCTTACAAGGACTGAGTAAGAACATGGAAAAAACTGGAACGGTATCTGGCACATGACTGCCATGGTCATTTGCTAACAGTCCTAAAGAACAGTGCTGCCAGGAAGACCACTTACGTGGACCAACTCTTCATCATCCCGCGCAGAGTAAATAGCAAATCTCCTTTCCAATGTGGTCTGTAGGCCATCTTGCTCGTTGGTTGAAAGGTCTGCATTAACTGTAAATGTTCCAATGAACCTGGAGAGAAGCCAGGCGTTCCCTGTGTCACAGGTCATGGCAAAGAGGAATGCTCGCTATTCTTTTATAGCCAAGAAAATCAGAAGGGATGGTCTCAGAAGGGAACATGAGCCTCGGCTGCCTATGCCCTGCTTTTCCCAGTCTGAGCGGCTTGACCCCTGCTCACCACTGAGGACCCCGTCACACTTCACATCCCTGGTTGCCTTCCCAGACCCCCAGCTGTTCCGTGCACCCACAGGCCCCAGCACATCCCCTCCTGAGCACTCCTACCAGCAAGCTACCCTGATGAACTGAGTGCACCGGTCTTCCCGGCCAGCCTGGGAGCTCTTCGAGGGCAGAGATCATGCCTGATGCTTCTCTGTCTTCAGTACTGTGCCCAAGGCCTGGCATATAGGATCCTTTCGGGGAAGGTGTGTGGAACTGACCTGCCCCCAGACTCTGAGAGACATAAGTCCTACACTGGGGCGCTGCAGGACGGGCTGGAAGGCCGTACCATTTCACCAGGTTCGACAGGTAGCAGGCATCCACGTTCTGAGGTGGCACTTTGGTAAAGCGAGCTGGGATGATGGACAGGCCGATGGCAAGCAGATCTGGCTGGTTGCAGATGTTACTGCGATAGAAACCATTTGCCAGCAGGCACAACAGGTGAACCTGGGAAAAAGGGGAAGATGGTAGGCTGAAAACCGGAGGGGTTTCTGCTGCCAGACTGAGTGACATTTTGTGGGCAGGAGTTCTTTGTTATTTCTACAAACGAGAAAGAAAAATTCCATGTCAGCCATTTCCCAAGACTTTGTCACCCTGTCCCCTCCCAACTTATTCCCTCACAGAAATAATCAAATCTCAAAATTGCAAAATAAAAACTTTTTTTTTTTCCTTTTAGAGGCATTGTCTTTTAGATATATGCTGTAGGATTTACGGATGACGTTCTACAACGTCTGGGGTTTGCTCCAAAAAGATTGGGAGGAAAAGTGAGTTGGGGGAGAGAAGGTCGAGGCCGCACAAGCGCCAGCAACTGTCCAAGCTGGGGGTCAGCACGGGTTCACCACGCTGCTAGCCTCCCAGCCCTGGAAGAACCCAGCCCCTCCCACTGCAGACCCCACGTGTGCCCTTCACCTGAGTTCCAACTGCTCCCCAAACTAATGAGATGATCACAGGACTGCTCCCCACCGCCCCACAGCTTTACATCATTTTCTCTGCAAAACCGTCTTCAAACCCACTTATGACCACCCCGTTTGAGTCAGTGGCTCACCCTTCTCCCCTCACTGAAGCTTACAATCTGGGAACCGTATTAACTCTTCCCCTGCTTTCACCTCTACCAAAAGGTACAAGCAGCACAGCTATCTCATATACTCCTCAAGGCTTTGGGGCGGGGGGGGGGGGTCTCATCTCTTCACTGTCCTTGCTCTGCATTCACCTCACCTCCATATTTCTGCGGCTGCTGCAGACACACGGGTCTCTTCCACCTCTGCCGTCTCTACCTCCTCTGGCTGCCGCTGCCGACCCGAGGGACATCAAAGTGCCCTTCCCTTGCTCTCCATGGGCCTCCGATGCACGCACCCCCCAAGATGCAGACACACTGGTCGTCCCGCCATGTGCTCTCAGCTCGGCCTGGGCAGTCCCCCCAGCCTCTGTCCTCTGCCCTTTCTCTTCAATAAAGCCTTCCTCCACCGCTCAACCCACGCCGATCCCTTTCCTTATTCCCAGGCTTCACTGAGACCAAAGTTCTGGCACCACACCACCTTGCCTTGACAGAGAGGACACTGTCCTTTCACCCCTGCCCTTACCTTGTGTGTGTCCTCACGGACTTCTTTACTGAAACGGTTCATCATCCTCCGAAGATATGTCTCAAACTCCATTTTTATCCTTTCACTGCCATGCATATGGAAAAATCCAAGGATGAAGTGGGAGACGGGCGACGCCTGACCCCAGCCCCCAGTCACTTCCTTTCCCTTGTGATGTCTCATGAATGGCGCCCCTTGTTTTCCCGCACGAGGTTGTGCAGGCGAATCTGCAAGCTGGCTACCTTCTGCAGATTTTCTGGTCCTTCTTGCCTAAATGCCTCGACTTTCTCTACCCGACACGCCGCACGGACGTGCTTTGAAGTGCACATTCTCCAAGCAGTCCTCTCTGCCTGTCTGACCTCCCGATTACAGATTCCCCCCCTTAGCATGGGTACTTTTGTGCTACATTGGTGCACACTCATTTGTTGGTGCTGCTCTGCTGTAAGAGGTCTCTCATGCCGGTGTCCCCTGCATCCATAAGCCAACTTAACACTTCTTGAATGACTTCTATTATCTCCTTTCTTCGTGCCTGATGATGTGCCCGTCACACAGCGGGAGTCATTGGCCATTAACTACCAGGTGTGGTGCTACACATTCCCAAGCCACCAGGGGCTACAGTGGTCCCAGGGACCTAGGGATGGAATGGGGGCTCCCTACCACAGTGGGGCACTGCCTCAAATCGTGCAGTGTGATGTGGTGCGACAAGATGAGGGTCAAGTTGGATGGAGAGGGATTTAGATCTTGGCTCATCCACTTCCTGTCTGAGTGACTCCTAAAACGTTACTGAATTTCTCGGAGCGTCCAGGTCCTCACTCACAAACTACCTTAAAGTTTAAGTTAACAGACAACCCGCAGAGCCCTTGGACACAACAGATGTTCAATACCTAAGAGTTTCCTCTCTCTCCACGCCCTGCCCCAGCCAGAGAACAAACCAAGATTCTTGTTCAAGTCCTAAAGGTGACCCCAGGGCTCTCCCACCTAAGGCTCCTGACCACTTTGGTACTCAGCCCTGGTCTCCTACGTGTTTCTCAAAAGCTCTCGTCACATAGCAGCTCTTGCTGATTATATGCGACGGGAATCTAGAAGCAAATGCCTAATCTTACCTTCTTTCTCTGGCTTTTGCCTGCTGGGGTGTTTCAATTTCTATCTCCACTGGCTTCACAGGCAGGACAGATTTAGAGAAGGCTGCATTTTCTCCTGCATCACTCGGCACAGGCTCACTAAGTTCTATCAACAAAAATATTCAAAAATCAGTGATAATAATTATTATAACAGCGATCACACGAACAAAATTGAGTTCTGCTGAGATGGAGGGAGTAAGGAACAGAACAGGACAGATGCGAGGCAGGAGTCCCCTACTCCTATCATGTTTTTGAGTACCTCAAAAATGCCACACACTGTGCTGTTTTACTTTATTGCTCATTGAACTTGATTGAACAGCAACCCAGAGACACAGGAAACTAGGGCACAGAAACACTGAGTTGAATTAAATACAGATCTCTGGTATCAAGGAGCTGATGCTCAAGTATGTGTTTTAGTAGAGACTTAGCCTTTATCCAAGGGAAAAAAAAGCGCCAAACAAGAACAATTTTCTATTCTCCATTTTACTACAGTAACACATACCACAATTTGCTCTGTATAGAGGAATGACTGAGGGGTCTTCACAGCCCCAATCGCAAACTTGTAATGACGAGGAATGCATCTTTTTTTCCCTCTTTATCCCCTGCATCACTTGTAAACGCTAGCTGACATAAACTGAATTCACTGAACTGGATCTAACTGTGAATGTCATCAGCAAAGGCCCTTTTAAAGCGGCTGTGGGTCCAGACGCACTGACACCCCGTTGGTAATGAACACACCTAATGTCAAGACCTGGTTTGTATATACGGGTCCCTACTGAAAAGAGCCAGGACTTCCTGCAGAAACAAAAGCTGATTATAGGTCTGGAGCAAGAAAAGTATAGGGTGGGCCTGGCACATCTTCTCGTGCCAGAAAACAAAAATGTTCTCAAAAATGAGTAAGGCCAGAGCAACAGGACACAGCAGGGTAACTGGCTTAAAGGGGCTCCCACGAGCCAAATCGGGGACAGTCTGAAGATCAAAAAGTATAACGACAATAACTGATAACATGTTTCAATTTTTAAAATATCTGAGTCCGCAGCGATACTCAAAATAAATTCTTAAAAGAGAAAGTTCTTCTTTACAGATCAAAGTCACCTGATCAATGAATATGAAATGACAGATTCAGAATATTCCATTTTGCAATGCTCAGTGTAAATGCTCTGACTTGGTAAAGATCAAAACATACTAAAACCATTAAGTAGGGGCACCTGGGGGACTCAATGGGTTAAGTGTCTGACTTCAGCTCAGGTCACAATCTCACTGTTTGTGAGTTTGAGCCCCGCATCAGGCTCTCTGTTGACAATGCAGAGTCTGCTTCAGATCCTCTGTCTCCCTCTCTCTCCACCCCTTCCTCACACACAGGTGTGTGCTCTCTCTCAAAAAGAAACATTAAAAAGAAATTCTTTAGTACCACCAAGATGGCTAATTAAAGAGGAAAAAATGTACCTTTATATTGTTGCAACCTGGCAGGACCACCTTACACGATCGAACTTTGCGTCACTAGTAGGACAACCTGACACTAGGTGCCTCTTAACGGATGCAGTATTAAGAGCTGAACCTAAATTCAGGTAAACCTTACATGTATAAGAAACCAAGAGACACTGAAACCCGTTACCACCACCCTGAGATGTGTGACTGTCTGTCAGACAAAACTAGACTATGAGACATCCCACAAAAGAAGAGGCCACGACTCTTCAAAAACAGCAGTGTTCCACAAGTGAAAAAACAGGGCTGGGTAACACATACTGTTCTAGACTAAAGGAGACTAAAGTGGTATAACCAAACACAAGGCTCACAGCTTAGATCCTGGATTAGCAACAAAGAAAAACATACCTAGGAAGGATATTTTTGTAACAAATGGGGACTTTTCATTTTCTTAGGTATGAAAATATTTTATCATGTTGAGAATGTCTTATTCTTGAAATGCATGAAGTATTTACAAGTAAAGTGCCAGGGTGTCTGCAACTTATTTTCTTTTTAAATGTTTATTTTTCCGAGACAGAGAGAGCAGTGCATACATACAAGCAGGAGAGGGGCAGAGAGAGGGGGAGAGAATCCCAAGCAGGCTCCCCACTGTCAGCTCAGAGCCAGATTTGGGGCTTAACCCGGTGAACTGTGAGATCATATCCTGAAACTGAGCCACCCCGGCGCCCTTGCAACTTACTTTCAAATGGTTCTACAATGTATATATGCAGAGAGAAAGACACATTCAATATGGCAAATGTTACAGTTAGTTAGGAATCTAGGTGGGGTCTATGTACTACATTAAAAAATTTTTTTTGTTGGTTTTCAAAAATCATTTTCCAAATCAAGAGCTGAGATAGAGTCAAGCTACACAGAAGGAATCAGGGATGATAATATTAGCTGCCACTTACTGTGAATATATGAGGCTTTAGGCCCATTACATTTGCAAACCTTTCCTCCGCCAACACAGTTATGGATCCCAGCCTGTGCACAGCTCACAGGGAGCATTCAATGCTTACTGAATGTCATCGGTGAAAAAACTCAGCTCTGACAGGTGGATTTGCTCACTCCACTATAAGTGACAAAGCTGGGCTCTGAACCCAGGACTCAAAGCCTGTGTGCTTTCTACGAGATGACGCTGCCTCTCTCTTTCACAATCTACTCCTGACAGCCACCAGAGGAAGACCATACCTTTTCGGTAACCTGGTCATGGATTTTTCCTTGCATCAAAAGCAAGTCTCTACTGCAACCTTGTTAGATCTTAGTTTCGAAAGGAAACAATGGGTAGCTAAGTGACATGCCTCTAAGCCGATTCAACCAGAAAAACACAATCACACAGCTCTGATGTTTTTACCTTCTACCTCTTCCCAATCATCGTCACTTTCTTCCTCCTCGTCTCCTTCACAGCTGCCTTTGTCCACAGCAGCCTCTCTCTTTGGATGGTGTGCCTTCCTGGGGGCACTTGCAAAGTCCCTGTGTAAAGATCACAGGAGGGAAGGTGAAGAAGCTTCCCATACCCTAGAAGGACTCCTTCTATTTGCTGAGAACCTGTCGCAATTACGTAAAGATGACGTGTGAGCTCTGAGCCTCGTACCCTCCATCGGCGTGGGTCCCAAGTGCTCCTCAAGATGTGCTCTGATCATCAGTCTGACGCTGGATGTGCTGTCAGAAAGAACGCAATGACCCTACAACCTAGAGCTGTGTGAGGGAAAACGCAGCTGAGCCTGCAGGGGGTACAGGGAACGTCAGAAGGAACTACAGTAATAATGGGAGTTCCAGAAGTAAAAGCTGTGGTGTCTGGGTGTCTACACGTGCAGGTGGGCACCACAACAGAGAAGAGGGGATTCCCATTTGCTGGTCCTACCAGGAGCCAACTCAGATGATTGTTTCCCCCCACTTTAAGAATTATGACGTAAGGAGACAGAAGCTGGTGGAATTCTAACTTCAGGGTATGCGGGGATGTGACTGTATGCAGGTCTGTCATACACAACAACAAAAGCTTGGCAGCTAGCTGGTTCAGTAGATAAGGACACGGGGAAGTGGCCACAGCTGACTAACTGGCCCAAGATGAAATGGTTGTTAATATGTAACCTACTCTTTGCAACTTCATATACATTCTAAACTGTGTTTAGAGCTCTGAGTTACTTTTCAGCTTTTGTAATGTTTGACAGTGGTGACAACATCATGTCGGATTTCAGCACAGACATTTAAAATAACCGATCCTCAGACTTCAGCTCTAAAACTCCACATTTTGCCTTTTTAGCCTGCTTCTCCCTCTCAATGCCACAGAAACAAAAACATTTCTCCTGAGTGAATGTAATGGAAATGTCCGTGTGCTATGGGTTTGACTGCAGTGGACTCTCAACAGAAAGGGAAAGGAGGTCCCAGAGCTTCAACTGACTGTATCCTGGTCTATCTGTATGTGGATTTCTCTGGAGAAAGAATCCAACTAGTGCGGACGGGCAGCCAGGAAACAGTAAGCTCAGAGACAGATTGAGGGAAAGCCTAAGGGAAAGGGAGATGAACTGAGTGCAAAATTGACCTGCTTCCTCATGCTCTTGTCTACTGTTGCCCTCTCCTGGGCGACTGTTCTCTGCCAGGACTGGAGGTTGCTGGAAAAGCCAACACTAAGATTGAAGGTTTGTTTTTGAAGGGACTACTGCCTCTGGTTTTCCTCTTCCTCTCTTCCCCACAACTTTCCTGGGAGGTGGAAGATCACTGGGCTTGTAATCCCTGTCCACCACATATTACTAAGAATGTGCATTCACTGCAAAAATCTTGCTCAGTTTCTGCCAAACAAAAGGTCCTTTCCTAGATGCCACAGGGCACACGAAAACGAACCAGGAGTGGTTCCAGGCCTCAGAGAGCTTCCAGGGGAGCAGGTGCAGTACGTGACACGGGCACAAATAAGCACAACACGAGGCAGACAAGCTACACTCGTAAGAGACGCTGCAAGAAACCAGAGGAAAGGAGGGAAGAATCAATGAAACTGTCAAGAAAATGGATTCTGATCCACATCTTCTAGGTGGAAGAAGACATTCCAGGCACAGGGAAGAATGAGCACAACTCAGGTGGCAAAGCAGGAGGGACAAGAAGTCCAGCTGGGTGAGAGGAGAGTGTGCTCGAGGACAGTACAAGAGAGAGCTGGAATGGCAGGCCAGTATTTTTGGGATGGAGTACCTTTATGCAGGAGAAAGAGCACTGGACCGCGAGTCAGAAGACCCGGGTCTCACCTGGTTTTTGCCACCATCTAGCTGCGTAACCACAAATAAATCACTTTCTGCACACTGTCACTGTTATCTGAAAAGTTTGAGAGGTAAACTATATACCCTTGAAAAACTGAAAATCCGCACAGAACTTTTAACTCCCCGAAATACTACTAACTACTACTAGGCTTCTGTTGCCTGGGAGTCTTACCGATAGAGAACACACACAGTGTTTAACACATATTTTGCATGTTATATGTCTTGTCTGCTGTATTCTTACCATAAGGTCAGCTGGAGAAAAGAAAATGTTATTTGAAATATCACAAGGAAGAAAAACTACTTTTACATAGCTTACTGTATTTATCATAAAACACACACACACACACACACACACACACACACACACACACACACACACAAAACCCACGTATAAGTGGACCCCTGCAGTTCAAGCCTGGCTGTTCAACGGCCAACTGTAACCGCTAAGAAGAATCTTACTAGTGGTCTGAGCTCTAGCTGGAAGAGTTTAAAGATCCCGTCTTTTGCACAGATCCTAGTGACGAGCAAAAACGGGGAGGTTTTATTACTCACACCTCCCTGATGGCAGCAATCAAGACCTGGCAGGAAGCTTCTCAGCCATCTCACCTGAAGTCCTCCCCATCGCTGAGAGCTTCATCCTTCACCTCGGCATTTTCAGATTTAACAGTCACCTTGGCCGCCTTCCTTTTGGCTGGACTGTGTGCGGGGCCCCCGGGATCACTGCAACCTCTCTTCCTGGTTTCTCGTGAGACTTTGGAGAGAAGGCTCCTCGTTAGAGGTTTCTCATCTTGCAAGACATCTAGATGACCACATGGAACATGAGGTAAGGGACACAGGAAAGGCGGAGGCAGTGTGTTTTCACAGGCACATGATGAAAAGCCCCTTTCTGTCACCTCTCTCCAGGCCACATCTCCGTCACCGGGTCACCGTCCCATCTGTTCAGCAACCAGCCTGCAGCCTTCTGTCTCTACTCCAACTTACACCCGCACTCACAGTAAAAACTCACTCCTTTTACCAGCATTTTATTCTACTCCTCCTGGGACGACAGACACTGCCACATGACTCAAAAATGTAGCTTTCAAATCTCAAACTGCAGCTAGTATCCAGGAAGGAAAGTACATCAATCTGCTATGAGCACCTTGCTTATTGACTACCTGCCAAGACCAGTTATTTATTTTAGGGGTAACTCACTTCTAAGTGAAATGTTTGGAGTTCAGAAGCATGTCCAAGTTTTACCACAACCCTACTGCTACTAATCCATGTTTCCGCCACCTTTCACAACCAAACCCTGCTCAAAACAGTTATGAAACCTTTCCAATCTAACCCAAAGGCATTCATTTACCAACCACCTCAGCAAACTTAGGGTTGGAGTAACAGTAGTAATTCAGAAATACCTTTGCTTCCTTAAAATAATCATTGTTGGTTTTTGTTAAAGGGAAATTTAAAAAAGGCACAAGCTGCTGGCTTTCGTTAAATCAGGGTATCTAGAAATACGGTCTGTTTCTTAACAGGTATCAGTAAATCAACTTTTAATAAATAGTAACACGGCAGGGGAAGATGGCTTCTATTTTGCAAACATGTTCATAAAAATAATCGATCCTGAATCTGAAATAAAGAATCCTCCTTTGCCTTTGCATGACTCTGCTTCAATTAATTTTGGAAAACAAAAATAACTTTAGCCTTTATTGAGGTGCAGCAATATTAACCTAGTATCAGATTGATTCGTTCCATTTATGGTTTGTCTTACTGACTCTATGGATACATACTTATATTCCCCAAGAATATACTTTTGCATGGGGGAAAAACCCTATGATGGTCATAATTTTCATAAATTTCTCTTATAGTGGAACATATGTTCTAATGCTAGATAAAATCACTGATCAGTTTCTTTAGAATGTTTTATAAAAGGACTCTATGCATTCTTGTGTTTTGAACATTTTAATGGAAACAAACAATTTCAAAAATATTTAGAATCTGGAGACATTTAGCTGCTTGAGGGTTTATGACTTCACAGTTTGAGTAGGGTGTCAGAATTCCTGGATCTTTAACGCTTCTTAGCCCTCTATGAATAGATGTAAAACAAACAGATGTGAAACTCTTTCATTTTTACTAATCTAAAAATGCACGCGAGAGGATACTTCAAAAGCACTGTTTCCTCCTCACCAAACTTTTTTGGTTGCTTAAAAAACACAATTGTGTTTCTGTGCTTTGAAGAGAGAGGTAGAGGAGTTAAAAGGGGGCAAGAGAGGAAACAAAGAAACTGTGAATCAAAAAGATGCCCATAGTATCATCATTCATACAGTAATCCCCCCTTACCCACGGTTTTAGTTTCCCACTCAACCCACTGCTCAACTGCAGTGAGGAACAACGGAACCTCTTGACAAACGCCTAAAGGTCAACAGTGGCCTAAGGCTACTTCACAATGCCTGTTATTTACCTCATCAGTTAGGCATTTTATCATCTCACATAAGAATTAGAAGGCTGGGGCACTTAGGTGGCTCAGTAGGTTAAGTAAGCATCTAACTTTGGCTCAAGTCAAGATCTCAAGGTTTGTGAGATCAAGCCCCACGTCAGGCTCTGGAGCCTGCTTTGGATTCGGAATCTGTGTCTCCCTCTCTCTGCCCTCCCCTGCTCGCACTCGCCCTCTCTCTATCAAAAATAAACAAACATTAACTTTTATTACAATATATTGTTTGAACTTCTATTCATTATTAGTGTTGCCAATCTCTTACTGTGCCTAGTTTTATCAATTAAACTTTATCATAGGTATGGAGTCCAGGAAAAAAACAGCATATACAGGGTTCAGTACTGTGTTTCAGGCATCCACTGTTGTGGGGGGAGGGGGGGCTTTGAAACATATCCCTGCAGATGCGGGGCGGGGGGGGGGGGGGGGGGGGGGGGGGGGGGGGGGTGTGGCTACTGTAATACCCCCAAATTTTAAAAATCTGAATGCCCAACCATGACATAATAATTGTGTACAGTCACACAATGGAAGGCAATTGAGTCACCTTTTAGGACAAAGGAAAATGACATCTAATAAAATGTTAAGCATGCAAATATGTTTTTACTGTGTGGTTTCCACTACTTAGAAAAACAAACTTGAACAAAATATACCACTATTCAGTGGTGCTTCTTTCTGGATGGTAGAAACATAGGTTATTTTTTTTCTTTATTCTTTATGGTTTTTTGGGTCCCAGAGAATCCAGAGAGCTATTTTCTAGCACTCTCCAAGATCTAGAGTTACCTAACCAGCCTCCTTGAGGCCAATGTGGTTATTTCAGAAAGGCAGGAATTACCACATGGTCTACTTGACCTTCCAGTGAGATTTAATAATACCTGCTTAAAACTGCCAGCGGCATCCCATAGTGCTTAGAATAAAATACAAACTTAGTTTGGTCTCCAAACTAAGAGTCCTGTCCACTTCTCCCACCTCAATTTCTACCACTCGCCCCCCACTCACTGTGTCCAGCCAACCGGCCAAGCTCATTTCATTTCCTCCTAAGTTGTTAAAACTTACAGCTTCCTCTGCCTTCCCTCAGAACTTCCTATGAATGGCTCCTTCAGGACATTCAGTAATTCGTTCAAACTACCAATCACCTCCTCAAAGAGGCCTTCCTTGACTACCAATTCTGACTTAGCTGCTTCTTCCTCACCCCCATGGCAGTTCTATCGCCTGTTCTACTTCTTTTCGTAACTCTTATCGCTGCATGAATTTATTTAAGTTGTTATTGTCTGCCCCCCCACCTCCCCCACAGATTGTAAGCATCACGAGAACAGGGATCGTGACTGTCCTGTTCACTACTATTAATTCCAGGACTGAGAACAGTGCCTGGACATAGCAGGTTCTCAGTAAGTATTTATTGAAGGAATTAATGATTCACAGTGACGAAAGCATTAACATAGGGAAAAAACATAAAGAAATTAGACATGCCCTAATAGAAACAAGGAAATAATGTGGAAGACTGTTTCCTTTGTCCCTAAACGTTGAAAGCAGCCAAGTGTCACCTTCTTTGGCATGCAATGAGGTGCTCAGAAACTATACTGTAAAGTCATCAAATCAGTGTGAACTGTAGCCCAATCCACAACCAGACTGTTCTTCGACCCAACCACAGCAAAGATTGTAACTCTTCCTTGAAGAGAACTTACTGCCAAGCTCCTCTAGCTAGCAGGGTCTGACTCATGCCCGGGTGCTTCCTCACCTACACCTAGGTGGAACCGATAGAAGGTAGCCCATCTGATTACCTGACGTGGACCGTGGCAGATGCTTCTAGCTCACTCGCAAACACAACTACCCTGAAAGGTAGTATTGTGTTTCAGAGATGAGGTTCAGAGAGGTAAACTATTTGTCTAAAATAATTTGCACCAGTGCATATAACTACTAAGTTGCACCAACCTGGAGTCCAGATCAAGTATTAAGCTGGAAGAAATGGTACCCAGGCAGGTGGCATTTCCATCAGGTTAAAACTTCGAACTCCTGAAGTGCCACATATTCAGAATACATTCCCTCTGACTGCAATAACAACCCCTTTTCACAGCCATATGCTGAAATGTTACCCATCCTTAAAGTCACAGATCAAATGTATCTCCTTCAGAGAGCATTTCCCAATCTCTCCAAACTTGATTGTTCCTTCAAAAGCCACAAAGCCTGCTACCTTCTTCCAAAATATCATTGTCTTGAATACTTTGTGTAAAGGGCAATTTACCTTTGTGTAAAGGTAAATTACCTGAATCAGCAAATCAATAAAATGGAACCCACAGCATTAACTGTGGGGCAAATTACCTTCTAAGTTTGGAAATGACTTCCATTTGCCTATTTACTAATGAATGTTGAACTTATATAATCATAGTATTGAACCTAGTGTCATAGGAATCCTTGTTGGTTACCTAAACTTCTATTCAGATTATTTTAGGAATGCCAGAAATCCCTTCTACAGCATGCACTATGCAATTATTGAAAACATTTATTGAGCACTTGGCATATGCAGGGAAGAGGGAGAGGACAATACAGGACACAGCAAAAAATAAAACACATTTGCATAAACTTAAGTGGTAGTAAGACGGGCTACCCTAAAAGGAAGCAAATAAATTAACAAGATCATTACATTATGCAACAGAGGCTGTGAGGGCCTGTGAAGGAGTACCTGGTAAGGATCACCTTAGATCAGACACTCAAAGCAGTGTAAGTTCAGATGTGAAGGAACAGAAGAAATCAGCCACCCTAGAGCCATGGGAGAACATTGCAGGCAGAAGGAATATCAAAGGCAAAGGCTCAAGGTGAGAAATAACATGGCATATTTGAGGAACAGACAGGAAGCCAATAAGGAGGGTATCTGGCAAAGAGTCCTAAAAGACAACAGAAGTAGCAGCAGCCAAATCATGTAAGGTCTTGCAGGCCATGGTAAGGAATTTGGATTTTAGGCCAAGAGCAATGGGAAGCCACAGGTTTGAGGTAGGAACATGGCACGATCTGATTATTATTATTATTTTTAATCATTTGGGCTGCCAGGTAGAAAACCATTGCAGAGAAGTGGGGAAGTAGGGAGACCAGTAAAGCAACTGTGGTCCTTCAAATGAAAAGTGATGGTGGCTTAGGCAGGGGCTGTAACCACGGAAATAAAGAGAAGTGGAGGGATCTGAGATACAGCTCTGAGGTTGGATTGGTAGAACCTGCTGACGGATTAGATGTGTATGTGTAATGAAAAGGAGAGGCTTGCTTGAACAAGTGGGTGAAGGGATCATTTATTGAATGGGAAAAGGTGGGGAAGAAACAGGCTTAAAGGGGAAAAGCAAGAGTTTTGCTTTGCCCTTGACGAATATAAGAAACCTATTCGACATCCAGGTGGAGAAGTCAGGTTGGATCCGAATCTGGAACTCTGGGGTGAGATTTAACTGAAGATATTATTCTGGGAGTCCGCACATTACAGCACTCTGGTCCATCCGTCTTCTGGGGGCCACAAAACAACTGTAATGCCTTTTGCCCTATTCAGCCCTTTGCATCTGCAGGAGGCTGGACAGCATCCTGTGGGCAACAGGGACCAGGAAAGAGGCAACGCCGGAGAGCCAATGGTCAGGTTGAGCTCCAGGGGAACCCCCACGGCGCATCAGTCGTCCCGAGGACTAAAGCACCGCGACGTCGGTGAGGACCCAAGCAGTGGCACAACCGCCCGCCTCCCCGGGCCGCCGTTAACGCCGGCTCCGCTCAAGGCAAACAGGGTATTCTCCGCCCCCTCACCTCCAGAAGTCAGCTCCCCCCACCCCCGCACCTTGTTTCCTGCCCTCCTTGAGCATGAGCATCTACCCCTAAGCCCGGCTCGGTCTCGCTCTCACCCGCCTCCTTCTCCTCACGCCGGGCCGTGCTCTTGCCCTTGGCCTTCCGGCCGCACGGTTCACGTCCCTGCGGCTCCCTACCGGCCGCGCGCTTCCGAACCATGTTGCCCAGGCAAGACTCCCGGAGATTGACGCACTAAGCCGCGGGAATGGGAGCGCAAGCTCCGCCTCCAGCGGGGCGAGGCATCGCCAGCCCTTTCCTTATAGGCCAAGTCTACGCCGATGAAGCTCCGCCCCAGCCTCAGCCTCAAATGACCAATACAAACTGTACAAAGCAAGACGGCGCAGAGGGAATTTCTCTCTACTTCCGGCTCATTGTATTTTTCGCGTTTCCGGAGACAGCGGCGGGGGGAGGGGAGCGCGCGAGCGGCTCGCGTACTCTCGCGAGAGGCAGGAAAGAGCGCAGGGTTTGAAGCATGGCGGACGACGTGGACCAGGTGAGTGTATTTTGAGGGGCTCACTCCAGAGCGGCTTTTCCACTGCTAGCCCTCACCCTGTCCGGCTTTGCGTCCCAGGGCTACTTTCTCCAAGCTCACCGAAAGGTGGCCTTCATGCCGCCCTGTTTCTAGGTTATCACGACTTTTAATCTTCCCTTTGGTAACCGCGCCCCCTCCGAATTTTGTCTCACGCCCTGAGATGGTTTCCCCTTGGAAGCCCGCCTGAAAACTAATTATTCTTCACACTCGTCACTTCCTTTCCCTTGTATCTCATCTTCATCAGTGGTATGGGAATGATTATCCCTGCCTGCCTCACGGAGATGTCGGGATTCTGGTAGAAAAGGTGATAATAAAGCTAAATAGTTACTATTATGAGCGCAACGGTTGTTACTCGTTCAGCAAATGAGTAGTAAACATCAACTTGTATGGTTAGACTCCGCTCTAAGCACCAGGGACACCGGCATTGACAAACGTGAGCCCTGTCCCCACTTGGAGCTTATGTTCTCTGGAAGGGCAGATAAGTAAACAAACTTGCAATATGTAGGAACTGTGATGTGGCATGAAGAAAACAAGCAAGGACCTGGTATATAAAATAATATGATGGTCCTCCAGGCTTTCTCATCTTCTCTCCTTTTCCCGAAAATGCTCTTCCTAAGATATATTTGTGGATCAGGCCACAACCTAGCTTTCACCTGAAACTTCACCTCATCAACGAGGATTTATCTGGCCGCTTGCATAAAATAGCACTCTTTCCCAGTCTGCTTTATTTTTTTTCGTAGCATGTTACTTGTTCATAGTAAGTAGACCCTTCGATGTTCAACGTCTGTCTTTCCCCACTCGAATGTGAGATCCTTAAGAGCAGGGTTTTGTTCACCATTCTGTCCTCCAGGTTGAGAACAGTGCTGGAAACCCTGAACAAATATTTATTGAACGAATGAATTGGTTAATCAGGGAGGCTTCTTTGAAAAGGCAAATTTAAAGCTACAGGATGAAAAGTATGGACAGTGGGTATTGTAGACTATAGCCAAAGGAGCAGTAGGGCTCTGTGGTGTGTCTGTTCTTGTAGTATTACTATATATTTATTCATACCCCTCTCCCCACTAGAATGAACTCCTTGAGGGCAGAGACTGACCGCTCTACCGTAATGTAGTAGTTGGTTAGCTGGTCTTTGACAAGCACCTGTTTAATTGGGATTGAGGACCAGTTGAGGTTAGGAATTTTTTTTTTTTTCTAGATTCTAGCTTTTTTAAGACTGTAGAGCCTGTAACTTTCAGTCGCATTCTGCCACTGGCCTGATGTACTCACCAGAGAAACTCCTTGAATAATCTTACCTACTTTCCTGCCTACCCATCCCTTGCATTTGGATGACTCCCAAGTCATCCTAGCCCTGATCTCTCTGGGACCTATATTTCCAGCAGTTCTTCAATTGGAAATAACAAGAACCATTTTTAAGTACTTTCAGTGTGCCACTTACTGTTGTGAATACACTTAATACGTTAACTTAATACATTAGCTCATCCAGTCCTTGCAAGTATCATGAAGGGAAGATTATGGCGTCCTCATTTTACGAACAAGGAAGCTGATGCTCAGAGATGGCATGATTTTTTTTTTTTTTTAATCCGAATTCACAAGTTTCAGATTCAGGAGTTGAACACACACTGCCTGACTTCAAAGCTAGTGCTTTCAACCAGTATTCAATACTCCCTGCTAAATATATTCATCTTAGTGGCCAGTTGGCACCCTAAACTCAACCTGCCCCAGATTGAATCTCTCCTTGGCATTCTGATTAGTGTGTGGTAATCATTAAATGAAATTTTTTCAAATCACTAAATGAAATTTGAGGTAAGGTTGAAGTCCCAGACAGTGACTTCCTGTACCCTGAAATTGGGTCAGGCGCTTTGGATTTTGAGAGAACAAAGTACATGCTTATTTTGCTGTATAACTCCTTCCTGTGTACGTGTGTTTCAGCCTTCACTTACATAGCACTCACTATGATCCAGGCACTGTTTTAAGCTTTCATAATATGCCCTTTGAGCCTCACAACAACAGTATTAGGTAGGTGCTATCGTCATCCACACTTTACAGAGTCTGAGACTGAGGCATTGAGGTTTAAGTAACTTGCCCACCGTCATACAGGATAGCAATGGCTTGAACACTGCACTCGCTAGTACTGTATTACTAAGCGTGTTTCTTTCATCAGCAACAAACCACCAACACCGTAGAGGAGCCCCTGGATCTCATCAGGCTCAGCCTGGATGAGCGAATTTATGTGAAAATGAGGAATGACAGAGAGCTTCGAGGCAGATTACATGTAAGTAAATTTATTAAATTACCTTGAAATCAGATTATTTCTCTGTCATGCCTCCCTACCACTACCCCTTTGAAATATAAACACTGTCTGATGTAGAAGAGTATTTTGAATGTAGATAAGAAGGTGGAAGGTCACCCATATTTCTACAAGTCAAGTACAACTGCATTTAATCCACCTCTAATATTTTTTCTAACAGAAATGATGTGATTTTAAAGAACATTTTCATTTCTTTCATTTTTTTTCTATTTATTTGTAAATAGCATTTATTCTCCATTCTTATTTAAACGTTCTATCAATTACTGATATGTACATAAGTTTGTGTTTTCTTGTGAGAAAAATTAAATAGCACAGAAGTACATAGAGTAAAAGGTGAAATCCCATTTTTTTCTTTTGCTAGCCACTTAGAAATTGGGTCTGTGATCTTTTAGGTCTTTTCTGTATATTTACACATAAATACGTATACATGTGATCCCACACATGCATTTGCACTATATACACCACCTGTAAATAAAACTGGGATCTTGCTGTATATGTTTTTGGGCAGCTTTCTTTTTCACTTAATCTTTCTTGGAAATTATTCATCATGAATGCATATAAATCTCCATTGAGCTTTATTTTTTTTAGAGAGCGAATGAGCGTGAGCTGGGGAGAGGGGCAAAGGAAAAGAGAATCTTAAGCAGGCTCCACGCTCAGCACAGAGCCTGATCCCCCAACCCTGGGATCATGACCTGAGCTGAAATCAAGAGTTGAAGGCTCAACTGAGCCACCCCGACACCCCTCCTTTATTCTTTTTAAGGACTGCATAGAATTCTGTGTATTGTAAAAGTGGTTTTTAGATTGTTTCCCATTTCTTGCTGCCGTAAATAAGTCTGCAGTATGTATTTTTATGCATATTTCTTTGTGTATATCTGTACATATTTCTATAGGATTGGTCCCTTGAAGTGGTCCTATTTATTCATAAAGAGAGTATACTGAAGGTTTTGTCTTTTCTTGACAACTTGTCACTCTCCTGTATATATGTTTTTACTACCATCATTCTACCTTAAAGGGATTTAAAACGGCTCATATTTGTGCATTAATTATATTCCAGGTGCTTTTATTATAAGTGTTTTGTATGTAATGTCTCATTTAACCTTTATAACAGCCCTATCAAGGGAGACGCTAATTAGCCTGGTTATGCAGTTGAAGAAGCTCAGGCCTAGAAAGGTGAAGTTACTTGCTTAAGTTAAAGGAAGGTCCAGAATATGACCCTAGGCAATCTGACTGCAGCCCCATTCTTAAGTACTTTGATTTCACCTTCCATAAGACCTAAAGGTAAAGAGTGTCCTGTACTTAGAAAGCAGGGACCTAGGAAGACAGTGATCTTGATATACAGCTGGCTTTATGAGAAGAGGAACCCTGGGAAATGGAAGAGTGGCAACTTTACCAAGACAAAGAGAATTGCGCTTAAACACATGGGCCAGTGGCATGTGGAGACACACCCCAGGACAGATAATGTCGCCTTACCTCTTGGAGGATTCTTTAGTTCCCTTCTAGACTTCATTGCCTCTATACTAAATGGCCCCCAATATTTTGTTTGTTTTCTGGCCCTCATCTATAGATTTTTTGCTCTTGTTAGTATGCTTTGCTAGAAGTGGCTGCTATGTGGCTGATGTGTTACTTTTATTTTGATGTGAGCTGGTAAACCATTTAACCCTTTGTTAGAAGTGAGCATGAGTGAGAGGCACCTGGGCAGCTCAGTCGGTTGAGCATCCAACTCTTGATTTCAGCTCAGGTCATGATCCCAGGGTGGTGGGATTGAGCCCCATGTCAGGCTCTACACTGAGCTTGGAGCCTCCTTAAGATTCTGTCTCTCTCTCTCTCTCCCTCCTTCTCTCTCCCTCCCTTCTCCCT